GGGCTCGGGGGGGGGGTTCGTTCGAACCCCCCGAACCCCCCCTGGCTACGGGCCTGTATTATATATCTATACGCTATATTCGAGATACGTGCAGTGAGCGTTATTCATGTTGTTTGTATATGATGAATAAAACCATCAGTTGTATAAAGACTATCTAAAGACTTGCGTTCATTTCACTCTGTGTTTTCTTGCTACTGTATCACCGTCATACCTTCGCGGTAGGAGCGAAAAATGATCCCGACATAAATATAAATCAAACGTGCTAACCACAGCACGTGTGAAAGTCCAGTGTGGCCACTCCTAGGGCCACTACAATACGGTAGTGCGACTTTTGTACGTACGGGGTCTAGTCATTCGAGTCATTCCGAGTTATTTGGAGTCATTTCGAGGCATTTCGTGATATTTCTTAGCATTTCGAGTCATTTCGAGACATTTCGAGCGATTTCGAGAAATCTTTAGTCATTCCGGTGTTTAGGAGGACCGGATGGGAGCTGCTTTTGACCCACAATTCAAAGCGGATTTAACAACAGTGCAACGTAAACAGAGTAATAATGGTACCGTAATGATGGCAGCGCAAATATTTTTACGTAAGGGGCAAATGGATGGCAAAAGAGGTGCTGCAAGTTATTTCAAGAGTCATTGTCATCGTGAAAGTGGACTCCAACAGCTGAATGAATTGCTAGATACAATACTTGATCCAACTAAGCCGATCAATGACTGGGAAACGATTGACTGGTGTCGTTGGCTGATGGCTGGCGGGCAAACTCCTGATGATTTTGCAAAAACAGGTAGGCCTAGGCCTAACACAGCTAACGAAGTTACACTACAAACTACTAGTAGTAGTAGTACTAGTACAGTACGTCAACACTGTCACTGTCAGCGTGAAAACGTACCGCCACATCTTCAATAAATCCGTGCAATGTCATTAATTTCAAAATTTGAGCTACTAGTACTACTAATATAGTAATAATCCAATATAGATACAATAATGTACCGGTAACCCAAACCCAAGAGGATAGGGTTACAAAGCCTCCCTATCCTTTTGTGCGGAGGAATGCCCGATTGAATCACTCGGGCCGGTTTGCTGGTGCATTTTCAGAGACTAGAACTTCCAAACTGGGTTTATTCTCAACACGAACCTTTCTCCGCTATCTGGGAACTTACTATGTATCGCAATACTCTGTATTAAACTAATACTAATAGTAATATAACCTGTTACAAAAATTCGAAGTGACGAGCGGCG